TAAATCATTTTTTGGAAGCTTTCTTTTTGGAAGTAGACTAACGGACTCCTACTAAAAAAATCATTTTTTGGAAGTAGACTAATGGACGAGTGTCTTCGCCTTTCATATTTAATACTCTGATCAAACGCGGCACATCAGCTAGCGCTTAGCTGATGTGCCGCATTTGATCAGAGTATTAAATATGAAAGGCGAAGACACTCGTACGTGTTCCGAGTAATCACATTTAATCAGCAGCTGCCGACGGCTGTCAAAGTTGAGTGAATTCTTCGTTTAATTTTGACTTTGGAATTTTAGTGTAAAAAAGAATCCGGAGTTTAAAAAACTGGTCCTGGAGTTTGATCACTTTCAAGACATATTACATGTTGCCGACCACAAGTGCATGAATCTGAGTACCAGCTCGGACCCGACAATCGCAGCATGTGGCTGTTGAGATCGTTGTTGGCTTCCACTCCCCATTCACGTTATGCAGCACATCAAAATTGCGGTATTTTTGTTGGCATTGGCCCCAACCTGAAATTGCTCAAAATTCTTCTGCGCAAACAAAAATAAATTGAATAAAATTTCCAAAACCGGAATATGGCGTAGTAAAAAAGTATCTTCATCTTTCAATTCAACTTTATCCAATCTCTATGCGACCTCAATAACGGAGAGGGGAAAATCCTTTTCACTTTGATGTGTTAGTTTGTCCCGTCACTTCCCTTTTTTGTTTTAAAATTTTTGCTGTGCTAATGTGTTCAGCTTTGATTTTCACCGGAACCATCAGCCTTTTTTTAATTTTTGAAGCGAGGAAGAAAAAGTTTACCCGAAAGGCAGTGTCCATCGCTTTGACCGCCGCACACAAGCTCATTGACCAGTGGTGGAAAATATTGCGGTGGCAATTTACGCCATGTCCAACAGGCACCACATATTGCCAAATTTTCGGAATCGTCCACCTCACCACGCCGGACACACGATATCACATATCGTGTGCCTTAAATACATTTCAGTCACATCTAGTTTATTTGATTTATGGAACTGATGGAAAAAAGAGGAGGAAGAATGAAGGCGAGAGCATAATAACCATGGAAAAAGCATAAATTCTACATATCCTGGAATAGTCGGTAAGGTACCTCATTTCGCGATCTAGATTGGCAATATTTGCAACGAGATGGTGGTACTTAATGTAAATCTCTGCCAAGTACTTCCAGTGTAAGCGGCTTATTAGGTTAATATCATCGCTTATAGCATTTTAATAATAATATAACAAACCGAGCACTGGTGGCTCGACTTCCCTCTTTACTTCTTTCTTGAGAGAATCCACCTGGCTTTCCGAGATTCCACTCGTAAATTCCTGAATTCTAGTACCACCAGCTCGAATCCACGACTGTGGTACAGCATACTGCAAATATTCGGCTTGTTAGGTTAATATCATTGCGATCAAGCCAGAAAGTAAAATCCGATGGACAGAGAATGTTTTTCGCCTTGTCGACAATAGGTGAACGTAGCGTATTAGCGGCTACAACCCGTGAGAAAGTAAACGACTACTTAGCCGGTACCAAGAGATGGTGCACCAAATTCAGTGGACGTCAATGCATTCGACAACGTGTGATCCCAGTGCCAACATGGCACCACAACACGTAATGTGGACATCGGTTGTCAGAGCGATCTTGGCAAGCAAAAAAATTTTTTAAAACGGTATCATAAATGCTTTCTTCAGGTATCTTTTGCAAACGAATTTCCTGGAAGTAGCCTTTCCTTTTCAAAAGATTTTGACTACCAGCACTACCTAGCGAGCGGAGTTTGCTTATGTTTGGTATTGTCTATGAAAAGGTATTGGTTGATTTACCCGTGTAGGACGATATGAAAACGAGGGTGCTGCCTGCGGTGCTGACCAGAATTTGGTTTCTCGAGCGGGATAAATCTGCAAAAAGTAATTAATGATAAGGGTTTTGACTTCTTGACTCCAGAAGAAGCACCAGTCACTCGAAAAATGCTAATTTTGGCATCCGAAGATTAACTTACAAGCGGCTGCTGATAAACATTTTGCTCAGTACGCCCATAACCAGCATAACGCCAACCCTCTTCAATCAGTTTCTTCACGTAATCAGGAGGTTGAGGTGGTTTTCGCACCTGAAAGTACTATATTGCAGTAGCAAGAACATATTCAGGATTATTTGAACAGCAAAAAAACACATTTTGCTTTCACTAGGAACTTTTCCTATCAAGTTTTATGATAATCGCTAAAACGCAAAACTACAGCAAAGTTCATCATCTGCGCTACATCTACTTAGAAAGGATGCAATTTCCAGTCCCAAGACAATTCGTAGCAGTGTGCGAATGCCGTGACAGAGACTTTCTTTGTAATGGATTATGGACCGGAAGAGAATCGAACCACTCGACTAACTGGCGTGCTTAGATCATCGACTCTTGTATTTCATGATGGAAATGGTAGCACTCCTACTGTTTGTTTGCCTCAATGGCAGCATACACCTTTCTTTTCTTCTCTGCCTCCTCTAAACAGTATACAAATTTGTTGCTGTTTTTTTTTTCTTTTGTCAGTTAGGCAGAACAGGAAAAGTAAGTGACATTTTTTCGTAATTTTAAAAAGCATGAACTCACAAAATGTGGCCTGAGAAACCGAATCCTGTGGCAATTTTCCGGTTTTACATAATGCGGCAACGGTAATGAAATTTGCACGTCGTTTGGCACTAATCCAATCCGCTTTAAACGATCGAGTAATATTGCTGCACATGTCTGACACTCCAGTGTTCGGCACATGAACGTATCTGCGTTCTAAATAGTGTTTATTACTTTTATGTGGACGAGTGAGTGAGCAATTCATCTCTCCGACCAATAGCAAGTCCTGGTAATATCGTGGATTTTCCAATCTAAAATGCTTTTAACAGCTTTTCCAGAAAAGCGCACTGAAAGTTTTTTCTGATTCAGTTATAAAAACGCTGTTAATAACTATCAGACAAATAGTGCTTCTGTCCGGAGAACTGTTAAGCCGATAATCTCTTCAGAAAACGAATTTCGAAATTGTCAGCAGATTGATCCCAGATGTTCCAGCATTGGTTAAACTGCCAGCTGCGTAGCTGGAGAATTACGCTAATCGGTGTTGGTCAAAGTATCAAAATATCTAACACATAAAACATCAAAATCAAATGTTACTATGAATTTTCCCTGTGAAACCCAACGAGATAAGAAAATAGTTGAAAAATTTATGAGGAACAAGCTATAAGGCACCTATAAGACACTTTTAAGGGTTTTGCTGGAATAGGTATATCCACAGCAAAGTGCCAGCTATATGTTTGCTACCTATATTTGCACATAATTAACATGTCTGTTTGCATTTACAACTGTTGGTGAAGGATCGAAACATGAAATTCAGTTCCTTGGACCAAGGCATAAATCTCATTCCCGAGGACCAGGGCTTTAAATTCATTTCTAAGTGTCAGAGCATAAAATTTATTTCCTGAAATCATGGAGTTATTATCAAATGGAAACAAACAATCTGGGTATCGGGAAGACTTTGCAGAATATCATCCTCAAGTGTAACATCTTGAAACGCAACAAGTGCTTCCTCGATCGAAGCTGCTTGATATCGAGAATCGTAAGCGATGCATTTATCCGATCCGGGTTTTATAACACACGGACACTGTAATACTGCGTACTTTCTAATATCATCCAACAGAATCTTTGAATCAAAACTTCAAAAATTAAAAATTCCCGTATTTTCGCATTCGGGAAGTTCTCCAAGCGATATCAAATGCCAAGAGCAATCACGCGCTAGCAAGGTTGTCGATGGTTCCTCAGTCGTCTTAAAAGCCAGAAACAAACAGATGATCAGAACAGCTAGGCATACCTGAGGTATATTATTGCCTCGAATGCGCTGGTATAATAAATCATTGAAGTTGACGTAATCCGTGCGTCCTCCGTAGGTATGTCGTTTTTTCACCGACACTTTCTTTTGTATGTCC